GGCTATTAGTAAAACACGGAGCACGGAGTACGGAGCACACGGAGCACGGAGCACACGGAGCACGGAGCACACGAACTACGGAGCAGTAGAAAAACGAAAATCCTTTATAATAAAATACACTGTTTACTACAAATTTTTATTACAAATTTTTGTTCTTATTAATAAAGTTTTTCGCGTTTTACACGTTGAGGAAGTAGAAAAATGGGGCTTTTACTGCACATATGATGCAAAACTGCCAAAAGCCATAGTATTTAAAATAGGATTGTGCCTGTGAAACTCGTCACATATCTATCAAGCTTACGAGTTATGTAGTTATATCAGTATATTCCGATGGCCAACGCATTAAGAAACACTTAGAGAACAGCCGATATATTTCGTTACCCCTGCCAAAAAATAGCCAAGTACTCATCTTTCAATGTAGCGGATCGACTGAACATTATAAAAGCTTGTCATGGAGAGAAGTGAATTTTCGGTTTATCCTTTGTCCCAGTGACCAGTGAGCAGTGTGCTGTACGGCCTACGCCGGTTTAAACCGTTATACATAATTACTGCTTTCATTCTTTCAATCCGTTTTGAATATTCGGAATCATTCACTATTATATTATAAAACTGTATAAGATAGCTGTAGAACTATAAATGCTGTAGAATAAAATAAATAAAGAAAACTACGTTTTATCGCGGTATTTGCCGATAAATCGGTAACCACTACAGAAAAACAGAACAAATTACAGTAAATCACAACAAACCGCGGAAGTGGGACAATTTTTGTATTTTTACTGTAAGACATGCAGAACATGTACGAAATCCATACAGAAGCGTGTGTGTATTCTATACTTTTGAAACAACTAAATCAGACTTCGGAAAATTTGACAGTATTAAAGCTACTTTTGAGAATTTAGATTTTAGGTCTTTGTTTTACATGTACCCAGTAAATATTTTTGAGTTTTGAACTCTGATTCTCACAAACTTATAATTTGTTTACAATTTACTCTGGCTCTGCCGTGCTGCACGGCAGAGTTGATCGAAATTGTAACAAATACGCGTACACTTAAATGGCTTCCTGAATTTAGTCAATCAGATGTGTAAAAATTACTCGTTTCAATTTCATGTTTATGCTCGAAACTGCTCATGTTTACAATAGCAATTCTAACAATCTTGCCCTCCTTTTCGCCTTTGAGGCGTTGGTGTTGATTTATACACAAAATTCAAAACTCAAAAATATTTACTGGTCTGGGTACATGTAAAACGAAGACCTAAAATCTAAATTCCTAAAAGCAGCTTTAATACGGTCAAATTTTCCGAAGTCTGATTTAGTTGTTTCAAAAGTATAGAATACACACACACTTCTGTATGGATTTCGTACATGTTCTACATGTCTTACAGTAAAAATACAAAAATTGTCCCACTTCCGCGGTTTGTTGTGATTTTAATACTGTAATTTGTTCTGTTTTAGTCTGTAGCGATTACCGTCATTACCGATTTATCGGCAAATACCGCGATTTGAAAACTTACTTTTCTTTATTTATTTCATTCTCCAGCATTTATAGTTCTACAGCTATCTTATACAGTTTTATAATATTGTGAATGATTCCGAATATTCAAAACGAATTGAAAGAATGAAAGCAGTAATGATGTACTGTATAACGGTTTAAACTTAGCCGGCCGTACAGCTCACTGCCACCGGTCACTGAGCCGAAGGATAAACCGAAAATTCACTTTTCTCATCACAAGATTTAATGTTCAGTCGATCCGCTACATTGAAAGATGAGTATACTTGGCTATTTTTTGGCAGGGGTAACGAAATATATCGGCTGTTCTCTACAGTAAGTGTTTCTTTATGTGTTGCCCATCGGAATATAATATAACTACATATAAGCTTGATAGATGTAAGATAACGAGTTTCACAATCCCATTTTAAATACTATGGCTTTTGGCAGCCTGGTTTTGCATCATATGTGTTTTTCAGTAAAAGCCCCATTTTCCTACTTCCCCAACGTGTAATACGCGAAAAAAACTTTGTTAATAATAACAAAAATTTGTAATAGTAAACAGTGTATTTTATTATAAAGGATTTTCGTTTTTCTATTGCTCCGTACTTCGTGTGCTCCGTGCTCCGTGTGCTCCGTACTCCGTGTGCTCCGTGCTCCGTGTGCTCCGTGCTCCGTGTTTTACTAATAGCCTTATAGTCGTTATAGGATGACGTATCACTGCACAATGACATGGTAACAACCTAACAGAGTAACAGGGCACAAATATTGAGTAGAAAAGTGAGATTAGCTAAGGTGCGGGACAAGATCATTTTTGGTTTAATACTTTAACTTTAACTTTAACTTAATACCGTTTCTTATAACACACAGTGTCAGCCAATCAAAAAAAGGTTGTCCTTTGCAAACCTTAACTCTAAACCTTAAACTCTAAGCGCGCAAAGTTTAATGGGAGCACAAGTTTCAAGCGTAGTAGTTGAATATTGCAGCTATTTGTGAATGAATTGTTCTCGCAAGGAGATATTTACCATGTGTCTAAGAAATGGGCCCCATATACGATTTCTAGTCCTTCTAAACTGATTAAGTGATGCTCCCATTATGCTTTGCACGCTTAGAGTTTAAGGTTTAATTATCCATTGGGTAACCATTGTATACGTAATAGTTGTAGCTGTGTCCAAACTTTAATTTTAATATTAAAATAGGTATAGTGCTGCAAAGCGTTGTGCTATAAAAGTAACCTCGTGCATGCATCATAAATTATCATCGTAAATTATCATCAAAGGACAACCTTTTTTGAATTAGCTGTATACTGATTTGTGTACAGTAATTACCTTTTTTCAGTCATGCGTGCATTAGGTGATAATATAATTCTTGACTGATTTCAATTACACTGGAAATGTTTTCAGAAATAAATCTGTCTATCTTCAGGCAGTATGACTGTGCAAGAGACTAGCAGTACAGAGGCATTGTGGGAAATAGATGAAAATGCACTTTCAGGGCTTGCAATTTTCAAACTTTTCTGGAGGGGGGGGGGCATGTCCCCAGACCACCCCACTTGCGTTTGCCGTATAGAAAACGGCAGAAAACTAACGGTAATTTAGTATTTTCGTGCAGCCATCAACCAATCATTGCCAACGTATATTCCATACATAAGTCTAAGAATAATAGATAGCTTAAGATCTACGACGTCGACGTTAGCTAGGACGTCAGGGCTAAGCAGAGGACTGGGATTACATTAGGACGACATCCTAGTCCTAGTCCTCTGCATAGCCCTGACGTCCTAGCTGACGTCGACGTCGTAGATCTTAAGCTATCTAATATCACGGAAATAAGACTGTATATAAACTTCAATTCCCATGCCAAAAATGACTATATTTATCGACTTTTCGACTTCTGAAATACATACGGATTACACGCAGATATTCGAGTATTTGTTCCGTTTTTGAGTAAATAATTGCATGTAAATCAGCTTTACGGATGAAATATTACCACGATACAACTGATGTGCGTTTCCGGTTGAGTTTTCGAAGACTACAAATAATGCAACGTACGTCTTTGAAAACAAGTATCATGGGCTTTTACTGGTTTACTTTACTTTACTTAAACGTTTTTGAAAACATCTCGAGTGTGTGGTTTTTCTCTCCAAATCTTACGACAATAGACTACTATATTTTTTACGTACTCTGGCCCAATATGAATGGCCTTCATTTTCATGTGGTTATTTCCTCATGTCTTGTACACATAAGAGAAAGTTGAGAAACTTATTTGTTTGAAACATGGGGATATTACTGTCGTGCTATATATATATATATATATATATATATATTCTATATATATGCTATATATATGCTATATATATATATATATATATATATATATATATATATATATATATATATATATATATATATATATATATATATATATATATATATATGCTGTTGGGGCGACCAGTGGAATACATGATAGTTTTGGAGTTGAAGCTGGTCTAAAATTCTTTTTAAAATACTAAAATATGTACAATAAAAAGTCTAAAAAGTTCTAAATTTTCGGTTGCTAACTGCAACCTTCATCAGAGTACTAAGAGCAGTTCGGATAGTTCAAGGTTTTTTAAATATCGTCATTATTGCCACATGATTGCACAAGCGATAAATACATGCGTGGGAATTCTTTGTGTTCGTTAATTGTTTTATTGTCTAATATTGAATGCATCGACTCGAGGAACGTTCGTTTTTCTAAATTATGTACTCTTTTCTCTAAGATTGTAGCATTGTTAATAGAGGCATTGTGTCCTGTGCTTTCTGCGTGGTCTTTGATTGCTGACTTAATCTCCGGTCTTACGCCTGGTTTGTGTTCTGCCCAACGTGATTTCCACGACCTCTTACTTTCTCCAACATACTTAAATGAACAATCTGGACATTCGAATTTATAAACAATGCCTTTAATCTCCGTGATCTTCTGCTTGTCTTTTGGTTTACCAAAAATGTCCCCTAAGCTTGGCATGGGTTTATATATTGTCTTAATACCAGCACTTTTAAGCAGCTGTTTTATCTGTTCTGATATGCCTTTCATGTATGGAATACAAGATAACCCTTTAATTTCCGGTTCGTCATTAGTGCTGGAAAACGACCTGCTGGAACTTGTCTGGAAGATGAATTTCTCTGGATATCCGTTGAGCTTTAATTCTTGGATAACACACTCCTTTTCTTGCTGTTTTTTATTGTCAGTAGAAGGAATGCTGTCGGCTCGATCAAGTAAGGTCTTAACTACGGCTCGCTTACTTTGCGTGGGATTATGAGAGTGAAAGGATAGATATTTATTGGTATGTGTATCCTTACGGTATACACTTACTTCAATGGTACGGTTTTTAAGAATGGTAATGTGGGTATCAAGGAAAGAAATTGCTTCACCGTGGTTTGATTCTGATGGCAATTCAAGACCAGCTTCAACTCCAAAACTATCATGTATTCCACTGGTCGCCCCAACAGCATATATATATATATATATATATATATATATATATATATATATATATATATATATATATATATATATATATATATATATATATATATATATATGCTGTTGGGGCGACCAGTGGAATACATGATAGTTTTGGAGTTGAAGCTGGTCTAAAACCAGGCGTAAGACCGGAGATTAAGTCAGCAATCAAAGACCACGCAGAAAGCACAGGACACGATGCCTCTATTAACAATGCTACAATCTTAGAGAAAAGAGTACATAATTTAGAAAAACGAACGTTCCTCGAGTCGATGCATTCAATATTAGACAATAAAACAATTAACGAACACAAAGAATTCCCACGCATGTATTTATCGCTTGTGCAATCATGTGGCAATAATGACGATATTTAAAAACCTTGAACTATCCGAACTGCTCTTATATAGTACTCTGATGAAGGTTGCAGTTAGCAACCGAAAATTTAGAACTTTTTTAGACTTTTTATTGTACATATTCTAGTATTTTAAAAAGAATTTTAGACCAGCTTCAACTCCAAAACTATCATATATATATATATATATA